GATGGTCAAAACTCCTTCTTGCCTCTTGCCTCTCTATTTCTTGCACTAAACTATGAAAACCTTCCCCCTTTAACCTTGGGCGAGCTTGACTTTATATAGGTTAAGTGAGTTTCTCTCCAGATTTCCAATTTTACCCCTAAATAACGTTTTTCCGGACCGGACACGCGCGAGCTCGCGCATAATTTCGCGCGTTTCTTCGCGCATGATTCTGCCTCGGTCTTTCTTACGCGCGAATTCCTGCGCGGCTTCGCGCGTTTCTTCGCGCACCTGGAGCTTGATTTCGTCCATTTTTTCGTCTCGTCCTTGCGCGCACTCAACTCCGAAGGGTTGTTCTTGCTCATAAATCATTCCAATATCCTCTTGAGAGCATCATATAGGCTCCTCATCCTGCAATGTATACATATCACAATTAGAGCCTATTTTTCATCAATCAACCATAATATGTCATTGGAATATAATCAAGCGGACGCATAAACAATAGCTAAATCACCTAGATTTCGCCTATTATCAGTCTGTCTACTCGTAAACCAAGCTATATTCTTGCTCGTAAATAAGCTTTACGTCCATCATTATTTGGTTCTACGAGAAGTTTTTCTGACCTACCAATTCTCTTAATGCAATGCATTTTTCGTCTCTTGACAATTCACTACATTGATCATAACCTAACAGTAGAAATTAAGCTATAGATGACCCGCCCAAAAGTTACTTGAGCTAAGATGAGTTAGGTCAAAATGGGTTAAAATTCGGGTCATAATCCAACCCGCCCAACTCTTATTAAACTTTAATTAATATATGTTATTTTCTTATAAACTGTATAATTACTAAATAAGGATTTTTTGCTTTTGTTATGGTCATATTTAAAATATTAAACAAAAAATAAAATTATTTCTCAGATATTTTGACAAACTTACTCGTGGATCAATTTGGGCTAAAAATTAGCCCAACTTTAATTGGATTGAGATGAGTTGGGTCAAGATGGGCTAAGTTCAATAAATGGACGGGTCAATAACCAACCCAACCTTGGACGGATTGGGCGGGTCATTTGGGCTTGGGCCAAATTTGACAGCCCTAGTTTTACCATGATACAATATGGCATTGTAAGTGAATCTTTAGCTTCATGTCAGATCACTCAGATGATACTGCTGAAGATAATAGGTTTTTTCCTCTTCTTTTTTCCCTTCTTGAAATTTGAAAGCAAATAAACCATATATTCGTTCGATGTTAACTTTTTCTATTAAATGCAGTAACCGTCAATCATCATTTAAAGTGACCAGTGACCTGATTGCGTAAATATTTTTGATACTGATTGGGCGTAGAATTTAAACTCTACTCCAATCATATGCTACTGGAATTCATACCTAATCAATGAGCTAGTTAATTTGTACATGCTGACCCCCAATACCATAAAGGGCAGCACGGTGCACTAAGCTCCCGTTATGCGCGATGTCCGGAAAAGGATTGGATCACAAGGGTCTATTGTAGACAGCCTTACCCTGCATTTTTGCAAGACGCCGTTTCCACGGCTTGAACCCGTGACCTCCTAGTCACATGGTAATAACTTTACCAGTTACGTCAAGGCTCCCCTTCTGACCCCCAATACTATGATGCTACAAATATTAAAAGTCACTTGTAAACCATGTATATGAGTCATTTTTCCTAAGAGCTTAGCATTTAGCACTACTTGTTTTTTTTTTCTATTTTTTTTCATCTTTCTTTAGAAATAATTATTGGTTTAGGTTTTTTGAGTTATCCTAGTTGTTGATAACATCATAGGGAAATAAACTTATATATTTGCGCACCATTCAATTTCTCCTAAGTTATCTCTAGATCTCCACTTCTTGCGCCATTTCATTCCCTTTGTATATATTTGCTTCTTTCAGCTCTTTTTTCTCTCTCTATATATATATTGCGCTCATGCGGTATCTTCGTCTTTGAGGAGAGAGAGCAAAGTTTTTTTCGGAGTATAATCATCTGATATTCTGTACCTACTGGCTCGACTAATTCACGTTCGCATCGTGTAAAGCCCATTAAAGGAAAAAAGTGGTCAGGTAATTTCTTCATTCTCAGGACTCGAACCCGAAACTTCTGGTTAAGGGTGAGAGTTCTCATACATCCTACCACATCTCCTTGGCGGTGTAACAAAGCTTTCATTTGCAGTACTAATTATAAGATGAATGATGGAAGGTTTTATTAATGCTAATAAAGATGAAGCATGTCTTGCTACAAATAATAGAAATGTGAAAGCCAAGTTGTCTTTGTCTCCTCTTCAAGAAGGAATTTCAAAGCTCTTATCTCAATGGCCAGGCCTGCAAATGGCTATTCAAAATGAATGGGGTGGCCAAGATTCTCCTCAAAAATCAAAGCAACTTTCCTTTGATATTCTTTCTTGTCTTTCTCAATCGAATGGTACATATCCTTTTCCCAATACACAATTTTTTACAATGATATTTAGTGCGGACTCGACTAATTCAAATTCATGCAGGTAGACTCTTACTTTATATTTGATCCGTCCTTTCATTTCAAATAAACGTGTTAATAATAATTTCACGTCGTTAGGAAAATAGTGGAAAATGTAGCATGACCAATTAATTTAAACTGATCTTAATAAAGATTTTTATACTGCTAGCGTATATATATATATATATAACCTAAATGCTTGTATAAATGCTATTGTTTTTTTATATAGCAGAAACTATTGGTGTAGAGGATGTAGAGAATCTGATTTACGAAAGGTTGCTGCTGTCTTTCAACACTGACATTGATGATGGAAGTATTGAGGAGGTAATTATTATTATTATTATTATTATTATTATTATTATTATTATTATTATTATTAGTATTCATATGCAAAATTCCTTCAATTCTGATCAATATTTATAAAATACAATCAGGTTGCGGAGCAGTTAATGACTCTTCGTGAAGAATATGTTCATGGAAATCATCTATACACAACCACGAAATAATTGAGTAGTACAGTATTCCATCATTTTCTTCAAGTCTTTGGCCAAGAAATAAATTTTTGTATTTTAATTAAAGTATCTTGGTCGCATCTACTATTCATAACCCAAGAAAACTACTTCTGTCTCAATTTTTGAGGTACCATATATGCGAATTTCGAGGGTCAAACTTTAATTTGGACTCTTGAGTTAAATATAATATTTTTAAGCCTTTTTGAAATAAAATTTACATATTTGAAAACTATATAAAAAATATTATAAGTTACAATTATTAAAAATTTAAATTTAAAAGGAATACAAGAAAATTATGACCAAAGAAAAAATTCATTTGACTAATCTCTGTCAAATAAGAAAGCGGCAACTTCAATTGTTGCAGCATGAGGGACTTGCAAAATTTCAATCATGTAGTCAATATATCACACAATATCGAGAAAAAATTTCGTACATTCTTAAATTTCGTGTATATCGAGCTCCGTACATAAAGTATTCCATATTTATATAGGGTTAGCTAAATAGCTACATATATTTTAGGAGTGTGATGTTGACAGTCGTTAATGGCTAATGCTATGGATCGACTTGTAACTCATAAATCACACGAAAATAACTTTACCGTTACTTGAAGCCCCTTGAATTTCGTACATAGTTAAACTAAAATACATAGTACAAAAATGGAACGGACGGAGGACTTAGCTCTCACTACTAGACAACAACAAGCCTGCGTACCAAAACATTGTCCCTTCCGCCGTAAACTCCACGGCCATTACCACCCTTTGGTACCGTCACGACTAACTCTCCGTCCACAAACACCGCCGTAGCCAGCTCCGGCTTTGCCGATGCAGGCAACCTAAACCTCCACGTGTCCACCTTCAGCTGTTCCAAGAACAACTCCGCTTTGCCACCTTTGTCTCCATTTCTCACCACAATCTTCGTCACTCCAGGATGTATCTCCACTGCCTCAGCCCTCACATTACCAACGTCAATGGCGCTGTTGACATCACCGTGCACGCCGATTTCGGTCACGAAACGGAAGAATTCCGGGTTTTCTTCCACCTCCACATCCGCATCGGACCGAAACGGCAATTCAAGAACCTTGCCAAACACGTGAGGCAGTTTCTGAAGTTTTTTAATGGCGTTTCCTGCCATTACTGTATTTGAGACAAAGAATAAGAAGAAGAAGAGTTCGAATCAAATACCTTGGTAAATGGCTACGTTTTTTGTTGCATGGACAAAATATGGACCCTCACGCTCTAGTTTTGTAGGTTAGAAATGACGACATGAGAATAAAGTGACAAGAACCTAAATCTTGATAAGATTCACTATTGTGGGGCGGTGAAGAAATGGAATCATGTTAATGAATGAAAGGCAAGAGCTTTTTTTTTTCTTTCTTTCCCCTTTCATGATCATTTAGTGTTCGGAACACTCACTAATTCAGATTCGCGCCGCGTATTACCCTTAATTTCACACTGTATATGACGCCTTAAAGGATGAAATGTTCCTTAGCTGTCACGGGTTTCTTTGTCCTGAAAGTTCAAACCCGAGACCTACAATTAAAAGAGAAAGGGATTTTATTCATCGTGTCAGTCTCATGGTAGTTGTTTTACCAAAAACGTGATAAACCTTTCTTTAGGAGGTTTAATGAATGAAATGAGAGGTTAATCCTAGTTAAGCTTAATAACTGTCAGATATATGAATTTGATGATGGGCAGAATGAATCATAGTGCTGTAATAATAAATGCTAGGCAAAGATGCTGATGATGATTGATAATGAATACATAATTAAGTATGCGGATTAAATGCATGCAATGACAATAAATGTCATATTAAAGGATATCTCGTCCAAAATATCAAGTGATGAGAGTCAACTAACTCTTTGTCAGTAACACAGATGATAGGAAGTATGAGTGGAAAACAAGGCTCTTGGATTTTGTACTCCCTCCTATTTTTATTTATGTGAATCTATTTCTTTATTAGTTCGTGCCAAAAAGAATTATCACACTCCTAATAAGGAAACTTTCCAAATTTTCAGTTCCATTAATGCCCTTACTATTTCTCGTTTGAATTCCGTATCGGACCCACTAACTCTAAAAGTAAGTTACTACTCCCTCCGTTCCAATTTATGTGAACCTGTTTGACTGAGCACAAAGTTTAAGAAAAAATGAAGACTTTTGGAATTTGTGGTCCTAAACAAGTTAAAAAGGGGCTCAAAGTATTTGTGTGGTTATAAAAGCTTTTCATTAAGGGTAGAGTTGTAAGTTTATACTAAATTGTTTCCAAATTTAGAAAGGGTTCATTCTTTGTTGAACGGACCAAAAAGAAAATAGGTTCTAAACAGGGAGTACTACTTTTTCATTTTTTTTTGTGTTGAATAGTCAACATTTTTAAACTTACAATTTCAAATCTCTTATTGGCTTTTCTCTAAATCTTTCTGTTCTAAACCTGGAAACAGCCTCTCTACCCTTCGGGGTAGGGGTAAGGTCTGCGTACATATTACCCTCTCCAGACCCCACTTGTGGGATTATACTGGGTCGTTGTTGTTGTTGTATTGTTGGCTTTTTCAAACACTATCATAAGGAAACTGAGAATAATACCATAAGATAATGTGTGCTTTAAATAGATTTTAGTATTTAGGTAAATAAAGAGAGATCCAACTGTCAAGGGAATAAATACAGATACGATTAAAGTAATGAATATTAGAAATGTGTATACGTTTTTACAGGTGGGCATAGTTTGGATAGAAGTAAAAAAAGAAAAAAAAAATTAACCAAACTGAATTTTTTGGTTTTTTTAATAACGGTTCGGTGTTTGGTTTTAGTTTTCAAAAAAAATCTTGTTTGATTATCGATTTTAGGGTGAAAAAATATCGGATATTTCAAAATCTGAGAACTTTTATACTACATATTTGACCTTATATAAGCTTTAACCAACAAAACATGACATATGTCAATAATATATTTTTCAAACATTTCAAAAAGTATTTAATTTGTATATTAGACGATTTATTAAAGTTAAGTCGTGCGATGCACATTTAGCTCGATTGATTGCACATATGTTAATCGTGGTATTGATAGCATTCAAGCTACATTTATTTGCTCCCAAATCTGTAGAAATAACACCTGTTAGCCACTATAAAAGGCTGCTATTTAGAAATTAGCGAGTGCGTCCTGAATTTCAGTTTTTCTGTTTTATTTTAGAACAAAAATATCTTGACGTTACGACTTTTAGGGTGTGTTTGGTATGAAGGAAAATATTTTCCGTGGAAAATATTTTCCAAGAAAATGTTTTCTTGGAAAACAAGTAGCAATCTTATTCATTTTCCGGTGTTTGGTACACAAATTAAGGAAAATGTTTTCTCAAGAGTATTCTTTAATAATTTTGATACAATAAACATGATGCCTTACACTTCCGGACCAACAACATTCTGAACCCACAAATTTTATAAACTTCTGAACCGCAAAACATTAGAAACTGCGAAATTTCGAACCCGTAAACTTTGAAACATATAAACCTCCGAACTCATAACTTTGGAACTTGTACAATTTTGAACCTGTAAATCGAAAGATGAAAAAAGTAAAATTGAATATANGGTGAGGGTATGGAATAAGGTGGGGAAGCTTGAGAAGGAGTTTTGGAAAATGTTTTTCCTTGTCTTGATAGGGAAAACATTTTCCTCTAATCGGAGGAAAATGAATTGATGAGGAAAATGTTTTTCAAAACATTTAAGCCAACCAAACATGGTAAAATTAAAAAATATTTTCTGGAAAATGTTTTCCTTCATACCAAACACACTCTTAGTTTAAATTTTCATGACAAAATAAGTACTGACTAATCTCTAAATAACATCTCTGAGAATGGCTATCCGTGCACTTGCCCCCGCTGCGATGGATTTGTTACTTAATTGGTCGTTGCGCTAAAACTCTTGTCGCTCATAGTTGCTCTTTTGCGAGGCAAAATTCGCAAATAGCCATTTTTCAGCCCCTATAGTTGAAAAATAGCCAATGTCATGGATATATATTACTATTGTTATGGAGTTCACCTGTAAATTTTTGAAATTCACGATAGTTGCTATTTTTTAATTACAGGGCTGAAAAGTGGCTAGCCAGCAACATTACCACCTCTTTTGCCTCCATTTGGGCTATGAATTACTAAGATGATCTGCCTGGCCCATTAGGCCCTTAATGATGGAAAAACTACACAAATAGCCATTTTAGAGCTACTATTTAGGGATTAGTCAGTAGGGCTGTGCATTCGAATCGATTTATGATAAATCGAATTGATTATTTGTCATCGGTGTATCGATATCGGTTCATCAATTTATCGATTTCGATTTCGAAATTTTCCTTATCGAGTTATCGATTTCGATTTCGATTTTGTCCTCTTCGGTTATCGGTTTATCGATAAACCGATAAGATATACTAAAAAGACAAATATACTCTTATTGTATAATACCATTTCCTTTACCCTAAGTCTTTAACCCTATTATTTTCTCTACCCATTATTCAGTGCCGCTTTTACCTTTCTCCCTCTCTCCCGCGAACTGTAAACCCAGCACAGAAAGTGAACTCCGGCGTACTCCGGCGAACTCCGGCGTACGTTTCTGCTGCAAAAGCACAAGAAACAACTCCTTGACAAACAGATTCCAACATCGCCTTTGCACTGTCAATGACTTCAAAACCTCGAAGGCTCGGATTATTTGCTGGTGAGTCCTTTTCTGCTGTGTTTGATGGGGTCGAGTCGATTAGCACTGATCCATCACAGCCCTATTATAATGCCAGAACGAAAATGTTAACCAAGTACAGAGTAAATAGTCAATATGCTGGATGTATAATGTCTTAGCCCTTCTTATATGGTTTTTAATCTTAAGTTAGTAGCCTTAGATATCTTATATTCTTAATGGAAACAGAATTAGCCGTGATGATGTTTTTTTTTTTTTTATACTGTTGAAGTGTTGGTGGTATACATTTGATCCCTTACTTTAGTTTCGTTGCATGTGCTTGTTGACACAATTTTTATGTTATAAACAGTGTTCGTCTTATTTTAGCTTCTTTTTGTCCATATTAGTGAGGCGTGTTTATAGCGATATACTTTCCGTGGAATCCCGCAAATTTTCTTATTGGTGTAATCGATAACCGAATTGATAAGCCCCAAAAATCGTTAAATCGAAATCGAAAAAATCGAAACCTTATTGAAACGATAACAATAGGCATATGTACAAATCGATAATCGATAAGTAATTATCGATAATGGCCAAATCGAATCGATAAATCGAATGCACACCCCTATTAGTCAGTACCTATTTTGTCCTGGAAATTCAAACTAAAAATCTTAATTTCAGGACTCTGTGTCTCGAAAAGTTCAACTAAAAAACTGAAATTCAGGACTCATTAGCTAATTCCTAAATATTAGTCCTCCAGAATGGCTATCTTATGTCATTTCTACCTTATAATGATGGGAAGAATTAACCCAAATAGCAGCCTCCCCAATCGTTTAAACAAAAATTAGCCGGTAGAAGTATAATATATGCATATTTTATATATTATATGTGTATAATTATGTATAAACAATGTATAATCTATGTATATGGTTAGAAAAAGTAAACATTAAGTATGGCCGGCTATTTATGTAAAGATGTCACAATCCGAAATTCCACCTTCAGGCCGTGACTGTGTCTAATGTTGAACCCGCTAGACCAGCCAACGTGTGACACAACACTAACATAATAATGCGGAATTTAAAAGAATTAACTAGAAATAGTTTACCATCTTTAACAATGAAAGTAGATAAGTTTCAAAACTAAGAGAAATTAACAAAATACAATACGTCGACATAATCCCCAAAATCTGGAGTCACCAACTCACGAACATACTGAAAGATTACTAAATACAAAGTCTGAAGAAAATAATACATGAACTGTCTTAGAAACTAAGAGATAAACAAGACAGAATAGGAAAAATAGGGATAGAGGAGACGCCAAGGCCCACGAACGTCTGCGGGTCTACCTTGAAATCTTTGAGGTGGACTGAAGGCTACTCCCTCTAACAATGCCCACTGGGTCCAGCCGCGGGATCTGCACAACATAAAGAAGTGCAGGTGTAGCATCAGTACAAGCGACCTCATGTATTAAGTAAGTGCCGAGCCTAACCTCGGCCGATGTAGTGACGAGGCTAGACTTGACAACGATAATCTACCTGTACAGTTCTACAAGATATAGCATAGAAAA